AAAATGCTAAAACCACAAAATGAGACAATTTTAAAAGTTGCAAGAGAAAATGCCAATTTACTTACATAGAAAAACTCAACAGGAAAGCACTAGGCCTCTCAGTGGAAAACCCTCGCCAGCAAAGTATACAACACATTCCAAAATTTGAGAGTAAAGAACAGCCAACCAACTATAACTAGCTAACTAGCAGACTTCTCTTTTAAAATGAACAGAGAATAAAAACATTCAAGTACAGCACAGACTAAAGTAATTCACAGCTACTAAACCAGCATTGCAGAAGATACTTAAAGTAGTTTAAAAAAAGAAGTCACAATTTTAGATTTTAGGAAAGAATATAAAACTTAGAAGAATAGATAAACAAATGACAAAAGGGAAAAAATAAAATATGTTCAGCTCAGTAAAACACCAAACCTCCAAGGTAAACAAGAGAGAAATAACGATGTCTTTTCTTTGTTCTCCAAAGAGGAAAACAAGTTTGCAGAAGTCAGCAAATCAGTCAGCAATACAACTAAATGTACACAGTCTTAAATACATTAAAATTCCAGGGCTGAGATCACAATACAGTGATACAGCACTTGGTCCTGGGTTCAATACACAATACAAGCAAATAAACACAAAAGTAGTTTACTGGATTAAGAAAAAGCCCATAGTTCTCTATCTACAAAAAAGACTGAAAATGAAAAGATGGAATTAAGTGGAAGCTGAGACAATTAAGAATAGCAATATGTAATTCTGAAAAGAGCTGATATGAAGTCAAAAACAATCAAAAGAGATAACGATCATCACTATCAACAAAGGGACAATTAGTCAAGAATATACAACTGTAGAGGCTAAAGAAACAGACTGCTCAGTGGTTAGGAGTGCTTGCTGCTCTTGCAGAGGACCCACATGGCAGTTAACAACCTTCTGTAACTCTAGTTCCAAGGGATCTGATGCCCTTTTCTAGCACCCATGGGCACTGCACACATGTGATACATAGTCAAAACCTGCATATGCATAAGCTAAAGTCTTAAAATCAAGAAGGACTGAAGATATGCCTCAGTGGTTAAAAGTGCTTGTTGCTCTTGCAGAGGCCTACATTTGATTCCCATTACCCACATGGTATCTCACAACCATCAGTACCACCAGTTCCAAGGGATCTGACACTCTCTTCTGACCACCTTGCACATTAAGCATGCACATGGGAGAAAAGAAACCTGTAGCTCGGTCTAAAGAAACACTAGTTTGATTTGACAAATACTTTGTAAAGTTGGAAAAAAAAATAGAGAAGCTGGAGAGATGGTTCAGTGGTTAAGACCACTTGCTGTTTTTGCAGAGATTTGATTTCCAGCCCCCACATGGCAGCTCACAACTACCTGTAACTCCAGTTCCAGAGGATAAGGTACTCTCTTCTGGCCTCCATAAGCTCCTGTGAGCGCGCGCGCGCACACACACACACACACACACACACACACACACACACACACGGTGCACATACATATTCAGACATTCACATGCATATACTAAATAAATCTTTAGAGCAAAAATACAAATCATGAAGAGTTTAAAAGTCATAAGGATTATTTAGAATTTTTCTATTCTGAGGTTATAGCACTATTCTACAAAAGCATAAAGATACAGGCTAACTATGGCCTTTGCTAAGTATAATGAACATTAAAGTATTTTCAGAGTAGGGGGGAAGCAAATTTCATATAAAAATATTTAATTTGGGGAACACTGAGAAAAAAGAGGCAGAAAGAATCTACGAGACAGAGGGTTTCCAACACTGTCTTCTGGTCATGACATGACTGCTGCACTCATGGACGCACTGCCAACAGCAGTCAACAGGCCAGCAGGCAGCACTAACAGGACTTGGTGGGAGGGGCTTCCAGGAGAAGTGGGAGGGCGGAGCAGGTGAGGGTGGGTGGATATAATTAACGTACACTGTATATGCATGCATGAAATCATAAAACAAGAAATAAAAGAGTTACCTCAGAATATTTAAACCAATAATTAGGGGGAATTGTAGAACAATGATTCAGTTCTCTGAAACAATTTTATGTTCATCTGTACCTACTAATAATGCTTCAAAGTATATACAGAAAAACTTGATAAATCCTTCAGCTTAAAACAGCACTTTAACTCTTCTTTCACAATAGTCAAGAGCTCAAAAAGACAAATCAATAAAGCTGTATTAGTCAGCTTCCTAACTAGCTCAGTTGGTATAGCATGGGACTTTTTTTAAAAATTTTCTTTTTATTTATTCTTTGTCTTTCACATCATGCATCTCCATCCCATTTATTTCCCCATCCCTTTGTACCCGCCCTCTGCCCTTGTAACCTCCCCCGCAAAATAAAATGAAATAAAATTTATGAGAAAAAAGGGGGTAAATCTCATCACAGAAGCTGTAATGTGACAGCGAGTCACACAGTAAGCCTTTTTATCCATATGTCTTTACTTGCAAGTGTTTATTGCAAAGAGTCATTGATCTGGTTTGAAGCCTCTCTAGTTTCTGCTACACTACCAACACTAGGCCCTCACTGGGACTCCTCTTAGTTATCCTGTCTTGTGGAGATTCTTCAGCTTTTAGATCAGTCCCTTCATGTGCTCCAGCAGATCACAGACGGGGTAGATGTTGAGGTGGGCCAACCATAACCCGGGTTCTGGGCCTCGGTAGTTGCAGGGTTGGTCAGCCTGCTAGCTCTCCCTTGCCCTCACCACCTGGGTAACCTCTCCTGCATTGCCCTGGCTAGCTCACCCCTTGCAGTAATGAGCAAGGGGCGGGGCCAGTTCTCCTGCTTTCATGTCCTCAGGGTCAGTTCTCCCATACCTACACCTTCAGGGCCTGCTCTACTGGGTTGCCCAGTTGTGGCACAGGGGCCACTCTCCTAAGTGCTGCAGCTGATGAGGGGCAGGGCCACCTTTCCCACTCCTATGACCTCAGGATCAGCTCTCCCTCCTGCCTCAGGTATTGATGGGCAGGAAGTATAGGGAAAAGGGGCCAGCCAAAGAAACCCACCCTGGCCCTGAAACCTGAGCTAGAAAGAAACACACCCTGGATCTAAGACCTAACCCAGAGAAAGAAACACTTTATCCCTAAACCCAGAACCTAAGAAACATTCCTTGACTCTGAAACCAGTGCCAAAGAAACACACTTTGTCCCTAGAATCAGAATCAGTGAAAGAAATATGCCCTGGCCTTAGAATTAGAGCCAAAAAGCTGAAAAGGGCTAGTTGAAAGAAACACAGCTTGGCTCTGAAATCAGGGCCATCTCTACCCTTGACCAATGAAACTAACCAATCCCTGAGCAGGAAAACTAACCAATCCCTGAACATAAAATCTTCTCCCTGGAGAAACCCCACCCCTAGGAAATCCTATATAAACCACCCTGCCTGTTCAATTGTTGGTTGTGCTTTCCCACCCTGGTAGAGGCAGCCCCTCTCCTGGACTCCTCCTTCCCAAATAAATCTGTTTCCCAAAAGTCTTGGGTGAAGATCTTCATTCATGGGAGCAGAACAGAAGAACCTCGCTGAGACATTCCCTTAGGGGACTGAGCAAGGCGGAGTAGAAAAAAGCAACAACACTGAGCCGGAAGAGAATACTACATTTCTGCAGGGGTTTCCTCTTTAGCAGAGTGAAGCAGAAGAAGCAACATTTTGTGCTGGAGAGAAGAAGCAGAGCTCTGCTGGGAAGCTCCCCTAAGGAGGGTGGGGGTGGAGGAAAGCTCAGTTGTACTGGCTATCTCCTAGGAGAGGAGCAGGACTGCATATCCTGCCAGGAGACCATCTTCCACCCCACCCCAGGTTTAGGTATTGTTTGGCTTCCTGAAAAGTCAGGATACCTTTCCATCCAGAGCTGAGCTGTCCTACTGCAGCTCCAGGTACAGCCTGGCTTCCCGAACAGTCAGGATATCTTTCCCTCCAGAGCTGTAACAGTCACTTACAGGGAGGGGCATCTTTCCCCCAGCCATGCTGCCACATGACAGGTAAGTAATGGCCACAGCTCTCCCATGCTTACAACTTCAGGGCTGGCTCACCCAAACCTCTGCCAATGGGGTTGGCTCTATTGTGCAGAGCCAGCTCTTCCACCTGCCTCAGGCATTGATGAGGGGACAATCTCTCTCCCACCCAGAGCATGGGACTCTTAATCCCAGGGTTGTAAATTTAAGCCCCATGTGGAGTGGTGTTTGTTTTTGTCTACGCGAGTTTATATATTTAACTCAAATTTAGAGCCAGGCATGATGGCCACACCTTTAGTCCCTGCACTCACGAGGCAGAGGCAGGGGGACCTCTGTGAGTTCAAGGCCAGCCTGGGCTATAGAGTGAGTGCCAGGACAGGCTCCAAAGCTACACAAAGAAACCCTGTCTCGAAAAACCAAAAAAAAGTCAACCCCCCCCCAAAATAAATGTCAAAAAATCTGAAACATACAAACTAAATTTTCTGAACAACAAAAAATTTAACTACTTAAAAAGCTTTGTATGTTTAATTTAAAAGTACACTTCTCCATAACTCATAAATGAAATAGAAGAAAGCATAAATTACAAAACATTTATTTAAATGAAATAAACATTTAAAATTGGTTATGAAACAAAAATCTGTGTAAAGCAACTACATCAATTTTAAGAGATATATTAATAGCATTAAGAATTAAGGTTTGGGGCTGGAGAAATGGCTCAGAGGTTAAGAGCACTGGTTGCTCTTCTAGAGTGCTCTGGCTCATTTCCCAGCACTCACATGGTGGTTTCAGGGAATCTGTCTCCTTCTGGCCTTCACAGTCACTAGGTACATGGTACACAGGCATACATGCAGGCAAAATATCCAGATATTAAAAAAAAATAATGCTCAGAATTAACAATTGAAATATGTATTCAACTTAGTGTAAAAAAAAAAGCATACGTCAAAAATATAATTCAAGTAGGCTACCAAATTATTAAATTTCTGAAAGTTCTTAACAAAGAATTAAAAATATAAATATATGCATTGTTATTAAAATATTAGTTTAAAAGAAAAAGGCCACTTACCTGATAATAAAACTTTATCTGTTTCACCAAAATGGATAGATTATGAATTCTAAGTGAAGCATCATTATTGACTTTTTTATTTACTCTCTGACTCTCCGATTTAGGATTACTGAAAGAAATTTGGAGACAAAAAACCTTTTATTATACTGAAACAAGATGTAAGATAAATACAATAGTTTCTTTTCAAAATTATGCATTCACTTGTGCTAATAGGTGATGAAACAAATTACTGCTTTCTTATACATTCTGTGCTTCTAACTAATATCAATACATCCTTAATATTCCTTAATTGGTGGCAAAATATATCTGAAACCAAAATCAGATGTCCTTAATTGTCATTATGTCACTTTTTATTCTTGGAAGAAAAAGCCTAATTCCATCCTCTCAAAATAAATCCACTTACACCAAGAATTCAAAATATGGGCTATTAACCTGAGCGGTTATTTATCCTCACACAGTAATGTGGATTATATTTCATGAGGAAAGATCCCAGAAAAAATTTAAAAATGAAGTAGATGACAGAAGTTGGTATTTAACCTTGTATAAATTTTGTGAATTGAATAAAAACAAAGGGATACATATTTTAAAGAAGAAAAAATTACAGTAGAAAAGTTATGATATGGTTAAGAATGAGAAATTGAAAAGTGGTACTGGGGCTGGAGAGATGGCTCAGTAGTTAGAAGCACTGGCTGCTCTTCCAGAGAACCAGGGTTTGATTCTCACCACCCTGGTAGCTCACAACTCTTAGTAATTCCAGACACGGAGGATTCAATGCCGTTTTCCAGCCTCTTTGAGTACTAGGCACACACATGGTACACAAACATACATGTAGGAAAAACACCCACGCACAATAAAAAGGGGGGTGAGTAATGTAAGAGCAGGTTATGGCCAGAACACAAGCTGTAAGCTAGTTTGTTAATGGCAAGCAAGACAACCTGGAGAAAGACAGTGATCACCCATTGAAGGGTTGACTCTAAAATATAAAGTAGCTTGCTGAACAATTGCTGGAACAAAATATAATGGTCCTAATATCCAGCACACATTAAAAAATTACTAAATATAACAAATGAAAAGCGATCTATGACCTGGAAAGAAAACAGAAACCATCAATGAAAACACTCTTAGAAATGAGTGAGAAAAAGAGAAATATCAGACAGGGATTTTAAACAGCCACTATAAGCCTTGGAGTGTGGCAGAATTGTAGAGTACAATGCTGAGGTCTGACAGTCAATCCCCAATACCATAGGTGGAGGGGGCAGGACATAAATAAATATAACTATCATTTCAAAAATCATAAACATGGGCACACACTTCCCATCCCAGCCAGCACAGACCCAGTCATGTAAAGGTAAGGTCAGACCCTTCTTTCTGGTACAAACCTCAACTGCCCACTAGATCTACCCCAGAGAAATAGGAGATGCACAGCTTCCTGCTTCCAGGCACCAGCTTCACCACTCAGTGCCACTCATTCCAGCTGGGAAGGTGAGACAGTGCTAGACTAACAGGATATCAGAATAGGAAAAACTCCAGTCAAGAAACTGGAATCTCTGGCCTAGGTAGAGACCTATCAGTCTGTCTGAACCTGGTTATTCATCATCTTTGGGAAGGCAGGCTAAAGAAATAAGTAGAATAATTTAGTCTTTTCATGAGATACTATACTTTTCCTTCCCAGAATCCCCACCAAGTGTAATTACTTATGGACAACAGCTCTGTAAGGTTTTTTCCAAATTATTTAGAAAAACATTCATTTCATTTCTTTTCTTCTATTTCTTCTCCAAGCATGCTTTCCTTAAGAATTTGGGCCTTCCTCCCAACATTTTGGGCTTCCTTAGTCTTTCTTGGAAGTCTGCCCTGTGACCCTCCATACCCACTTGAATTGACACAGCCTTATTCTCTCATCTATTAGGTTTTACCCTTGTCTGCTGGGGTTGGGGGGGTTAAACTAATACAATTTTTTCTTGAGCTTCCATTTGAATACACTCTTAACTTTTTTCATTAGTAAGACTAATTACCACAAAAGGGACTCCAATTTCCTCTGTATCACATTCACTCCCGTCTCCTCCCAAAGTAGCCTGGGTGGTGAAAAAGGCACACCACCTCATCCACCTCCAGTTCCCACATCTGCCACTGAACATACTCCCCGAATGGGAGGTGACAGACATGATCCACTCTACTTAACTGACACACACACACACAACACTCCATACACACCCTGGCTTGTGACACGAAGAGTTCATGGGATCCTCTGCCTCAATGCAGACTCCCACAAACCTTAGCAACCATAGGCTCTGAAATCAAAAAACACACAAAACACTGCCCCCAGTGTAAATTCCTCACTACCACGGCCCACTGCCTCTGCCTTATAAGGTAAGAAGCTGTGCTCCTGCCTCTTCCAAACTGACATCACCTTCAACTACCTCATCCATGAATCAACACTAATTCCACAGCTAAGCTTTAAGCAACATTGAATGTAGTCAGAAGGTTTGTCTGGTCCTGCCCAGCCCCTGTGGTCCTGCAGCCACTTATAAAATAATCACTCAGGCCGGGCGGTGGTGGCACATGCCTTTAATCCCAGCACTCGGGAGGCAGAGGCAGGCGGATCTCTGTGAGTTCAAGGCCAGCCTGGTCTACAGAGCGAGATCCAGGACAGGCACCAAAACTACACAGAGAAACCCTGTCTTGAAAAACCAAAATAATAATAATAATAATAATAATAATAATAATAATAATAACAACAACAACAACAACAATCACTCAGAGGCTTATATTAATTACCAATTGCATGGTCTATGGCTCAAGCTTCTTGCTAGCTAGCTCTTATAACTTAACCCATTTCTATTTATCTATAAGCTGCCACGAGGCTTCGTGGCTTACGGGTACTTTCACATCTTGCTTCCCCTGGTGGCGGATCATAGAGTCTCCCCGGCCTCTCATCCGTTGGGCATTGATCCATATAGACCTAAGAAAGCTTAAAGATTCTGAACACACAATAATGGAGCCAAAACCAGCTTCATGAGGGCCGAGATAGAGAGATGCCAAGGTACAGAGACGCCACAGCATGCATGAGTATAGCATGGCAGATTCCCACTGCAGTACAGATTTGTCTTCAAGCCATGCAGCACACTGCATGGTGGATTTAGCTTTAGCTAGTACAGACAAAAAAAAAAAAAAAAAAAAAAAAAAAAAGGTTTCTGGGTTACACACTCCTTAATAGAGGCATAGACCCACTGCCTCCCAGAGTGTGCGGAGAGTATGGCTCCCAAGGCTGACTGTGACTTACCTCCGCCATGTTGGGAAGCTGAGGTGGGTGGAGTCAGCAGCCAAAGCTGCCACTTCAGTACTAGCCATGCTGCAGTGTAAAGCAGTGGATTCACAATAAGACAGATTCAGATGGAGAAAACCTCTAAACAGTTTACAGTGTGTGTAAAAATGTATGTAGGCTTGGAAGAGAGAGGAAAAGGAGGATAGACAGTTATATAAAGAAACAGATAGTTTTAAAAAATAAAGTCTTTAATAAAACAGTAAAAGTAATATAAAAAATAAACCCCATAAAAATGGAAATCACACAGAGTCTGGATTATATTCTCTTTGGGATTGTTAACTACAGAAAGACATTTGATTGTAAAGGCTGCTGAGTTAACCAATAAATATATTTTTAAAGGTACCCTGAATTCAAAATTTATGTCTAAGGATGCTGTGGGATGGTCTGTATGTCAAATGTGTTGCTGATTGGTCAATGAATAAATCACTGATTGGTCAGTGGCCAGGCAGGAAGTATAGGCGGGACTAACAGAGAGGAGAATTGAGAGAACAGGAAGCTGGGGGAGAGAGACACTGCCAGCTGCCACGATGACAAACAGCATGTGAAGATGCCGGTAAGCCATGAGCCATGTGGCAAGGTATAGATTAATGGAAATGGATTAATTTAAGCTGTAAGAACAGTTAGCAAGAAGCCTGCCACGGCCATACAGTTTGTAACCAATATAAGTCTCTGTGTTTACTTGGTCGGGTTTGAGCAGCTGTGGGACTGGCGGGTGAGAGAGTTTCGTCCTGACTGTGGGCTAGGCAGGAAAACATTAGCAACAAAAGGATATGTTGCTTTGGAAAAGAGGTTCTGCTTTTAATTCCACAGACGATGAGAAGCTATGGATTTCTTCCAAGCTAATATGGTTTGATCAGCGAAGACCCCCTGAAAGGTATAAGATGACACCGTGGCCCAGATGATCAAACATCCAAAAACAGCTCCAAGGCTCAGACAATGTACCCTCACAAACTACTCCAGTCAGGACTTGACCATAATTCTTAATTTTCTCAGGATCCCCATAAGATTGCCAGTGCCCTCAACCAGCAGGAAGTAGTATGAAAAGCTATGCCCAAATTCCCAAAATACTGTTTATAAATGTTCATTTTTATTTAAAGCAGGTTGATTATAAATGCAATCTCTTTCTAAAACAAAAAAGGGAGATATGATAGGATGAAAGGGTGTATTATTGAATCTACTTTCAAAGAGCAACAACTTGCTTAAAATTTTTTTTGCCCTTTCTTTTTTTGAGACAAGGTTTCTCTGTGTAGTTTTGATGCCTGTCCTGGATCTCGCTCTATAGACCAGGCTGGCCTTGAACTCACAAAGATCCACCTGGCTCTGCCTCCCAAGTTCTGGGATTAAAGGCATGTGCCACCACCACCTGGCGCTTAAAATGTTTTACACTGCTATGGATTTTGGTTTATTGACACAAATTTAAAGTTGATTTTGTTATACTGTGTGTATATTTCTACTCTTGTTTAAGGTATGTTTGTGCAGCTCATTTGAAATTGTAATATATAATTAAGAAATACAGATTAATAGTTAATCATCTATGATAATCAAACATATTAGTTATTTTTCAGGTATACATAGATATATTTCAATTAGGTAGGTAATCTCCAAACATTTCAAAGACCTAAAGAAAATGGCATTTAAAATGTTTTAAAAACTTAGACTTTCTGGACAGTGAGACATGTCTGTTCCAGGCAGGACCAATAATGGGCACTGAAGAAACTCCATATGGAGTATGCTTTCCTTATGTCCAAAGTTAGCCATTTGGGCAAGAAACTGTTTTTGCCTGGACT